CCGGGGCCGCCGAGGGACGGGGCGCTGCCCGGTGGCCTTCGCGGGACCCTCCTTGGGCAGGGGACGATGGAGCCCCTCAGGGTGGGAAGGTGGGAGGCCAGCAGTGGCCTTGAGCCGCGGCCAGGCGGGGCTAGCCCGTCTGCCGCCGCGGCCTGACAAAGTCACCGGGAATTCTCAGCATTTTCACATCTCCCGGGGGCTCTCCTGACAGGAGCCCTCGTGCCAAGACATCTGCCCACTCTTTCCCGAAAGCCAGAGGCTCACAGATGCTTGAAGACTCGATACCCTCCCACGGTCACCATGTTGTCCCCGTCCTGCTTGTCCTTGGGGTCACTGTGAGGAGCCTTAGCTTATTCTGGTTAGATTTTATAACGATTTGATGGGCTTTTTGTAAAGAGAAAGGCTCAGCTAGTTTGGAACCTGGTATATCAAGGCAGATTTGCAACGTTGGGCACTAAAGCAACAAAAACTGGCAAGTTGGCAACAAGTGGGAGCCCTTTTTTTAAGAAAAGGGCGTGGGGAGGAAGAAAAAGTAAGGCAAGAGACAAATTCTCTAGAACAAAATTCATAGTTAACAATCACACAATTAGATTTCTCTCTGTAATAATTCTAAGTCCTTCTCCCTACAGTGAGAGCCGTACCTCAGGAAAAGCAACTTTATCTTGATTTAATTGAAAAGAATGATATTTACGGTGACACCAGACATGAAGGTAAACTTGTTTTTTATCTATCTATCTATCTATCTATCTATCTATCCATCTATCAATCTATCCATCTATCTATCTATGTCTTACTATTAAAATGGAGTTTTAAGCACAGTGATCATTAGGTAGACACTGCTACACAGGCGAGTGATACAACCAGGCTCGACTAAACACAATGCTGGAGACCAGAATACGATCCTGATGGCATACGGAAACAAGGGGGGTGGCTTTAGAAATCCGTTTGTCCCACGGTGCTCGCACTTACGAAAATTTAACATCTAAATGAAGATCCTACTCGGCAACAGGCTCAAAATCTGGTGCTTTTTGTGACCCTGCAAGGCGGTTTGTGCGGGACTCGAGCACCTCCTACGCACAGTCAGCACCAGCCACGCTGTGGACAGTTCCATGATATTAATCCGAGCAACTGGAGATAAAAATATTAACCTCACACTGTTCAAGTCCAAACATGAGAAATAATCTTTACATTAAATATATTTTTGAAATGAGTATTTTGGTGATTTCGCCCAATATGAGCATTTCACGTCATTTACCTTACTCTCTTGTCTTGCAGTTAACGTGTATGTTAAGGTGTTTACAAATAGCCCATTTCTCGTATGTATGGATCTGCCTCGTTCTCAAGCGGAAGTAATAGATCCCAAGTATTTGTGGATTGGTCCAGATGGAAGAAATTTAGAAGGTTAGTCACTTCACTCAGACTACAGAGGATTTCCACTCTGCCTGCCTTAGCTGTTCTTCCCCCACTCACTAACAGAATGAGCTTTTTCCAGCACTTCTTCACAAACTTCTTTGAAACAGCCTCTCCCTCAGGGTGGGGGGGAGGCAATCAGGAAAATATGCTGAGATAGAGAAATAGTTTCTGTTTTCTGTTTACAAGGGAAAAAAGTCAACCACAAATGGCTAAGTAGATTACTGTATGTGAAATCACATATTTTCCTTCTTTCTGCTGATGCCACCCTCAATCGGGTGGTGGGTCCAAATAGTCACTTGGTCCTTTGTCAAGCTTTTCCACAAGCTCTGACATTAGACTATGTTTCTCTTCTCCCTCTGAAATTTTCAAATGCTTGAGATAGAAGGAAACACTCAATAAGTCCTAAAGGTCGTCAATTTTAGATTGTTTCAGTCTAACATGAATCAGTGTCGTTATGTACAAGAGCAAGATCTCACCTTCCAGTGTTCTAAATGAGCAGAGCATCAGAAACAGAACGTTTCCAGTAATCAAGTATTTCCTGTTTCTATTCTAGGGCAAATGTATGTGAATCTTACAGAAACAGGAAAGCTGATGGTGCTGGGTTTTAAGGAGTCTATGTCTGGAGCCTACACTTGCACGCTTTCTCACAAAATCATAGAAACTATGACACAAGAAGAAAGAGAAGTAGTTGAGGTGTATAAATTCATGGTATATGGTAAGACTGCTCACTTGATAGTAAGGTAACACGCGTAGCCTTTGCAGCTTGGTGGGTTTGTGAAGTGCATGTTTGTTGCAAGGCTTGATTCAAAAAAATAGTTAACATCTTATGCCAGAACAGAAAATAATTTTTTTTTCTGCTTATGCAAACACACCTCCCCTCTCCCAGTTTTGGAAAAAGTTTTAAATAACCTCTACCAAGAATATATCGCCACTCAAAGGGTAAAATAATCTCTGCCCTTAGTAAAGAGCAAAGTGAAGCCCAACAATTCCAGTGACATCCAAGATCTGAAAAGGAAGCTCATGTCCGAGCAGGGTCCCGTGAGATCACCAAACCACACGTATCCCTGGGGCAGGAGCAGACCCTGCCCCGATGGCTCGAGCCTTTTGCCCCCCTTTTGTAACCCCCGTTCACCGGTGCCACCTCCCCACCCACAAAATAACATTCCAAAACTGCGTGAGAAACACTGACTTCTAAAATGTAAAAAAACATTCACTCCTACACCGCAATGGCACAGAATATTTTTGCATATTCCCAACCCATTTCAGTTACACACTTCGTGGACGTGCCAGTTCTGTTATTTTACTATTTCCCCCCTTTTTTGTTTTATATTTGGGAGAGGAGCCTTGTAACATAAACACATGAATTCCTGCACGTTTAAAACTAAAATGCATCTTACTATTTGCGTCAGCTCTGGCAAGGACGAAGTTGTCCCGTTAGGGTTAATGAGTAAGCTTTATTTATTTGTTTACTTTTGAATAAGAGCCCGTATTTCAGATACAAAGTACGCCGATACAGGCGATAAGGTTCTGTATAAGATTCAATCTGTGATTGCACCGCAGAACTCTCACAAACTGTTTTCTTAAAGCCTACAGGGAAGCTGACCACGCATATCAGGTGTTTGTTCGCTACACTACAAAGGAATGTGAGCTCCCAGCTAACAGCCAGTTCTTTGAGGAACTAAAGAAAATCGTAAATCACATCATCTCTGACCTGACCTGTCACATCACAGAGTCTTCCTACAAATGCCATTCCTTCAAGAGACCAAAACAAGGCCTCAGGCACCAACTATTCGTTAGTTTTCAAGGTAACAAATTTCCCGGTTTGTTTGGGAGGGAGCATTTATTTTTATAAACAACCTGAAAGTGCTATAAACAACACCTGAAATACACTGAAGTCGAGTATACCTGCAGAAGTTTCCCTGCTTTCTTTCAGAGTCCCTGTATTTTTTCTTGCTAGCCCACAGATGGAGCTAAAATGCAGTTTATACTTTGAATTTGTAGTGTTGTGCTTACAACCTTAGCTAGGAATGTTACTTTTCAAGGTGTGCGGTTGGAAAGGCTTGTTGGAAACAGATAGCTGATAAGATGCCATGATTTTTTTCACTAACGTAACTGTAAAAGGAAAATGGTCGCGTGTTTTTTTTCATTATTTGCTTTTTTCAACAAGTCTATGACCTCTGTGGTTTCACTCGGTTCTAGGAAACTGCACGGAGTTAAAAGCAAAAGCCTCATAGTTCCCTTATGGTAATACTGCTGTGGCCGTATCGCCTCGCAGAACAGGTTAAATCAACCCCGATGGCTGCCCTGATTTAGAGATGTTTTATCACTGAGGAAAGGAAGTTATTCCGTCCTGCTTTGCCCACATTCTCTCCTGTATCTGTTCTTGCCCTGTGCCAAGAGGGACCATCCGACAGGCTATGGAACAGCTTTGTGGCCATTTCCCCCTCAGTAAAATCAAGAAACATTCAGAACAAACCGAGGACCCAAAAGTTTCAAGTTTACATAAAACTTCAGCCCTTTCTGGAATCCTTCCTGTTGGCATATTTCCCCCTCCATTATTTTGTTGGCTGTCCTCTGGCTCTTACTAGAACAAAGCAATTTAAGTAACTGGACAAAACGCACCAGGACCGAATCTGGTTTTCCCCCTGTTCTCTCGTCACACTTTCTTCAACGTTCAAATGCTCCCAAAAAAAAGAACTGTTTCAAAACGTGATCATGATCGCAGAAGGTGAAAGAAAAAAGAAAAATCACAATTCTTCACAAATCAGAGGCCAAATTAAGAGAGTACGACAGGAGGAAGTGAGCACTTTAAGATGCTAAAAGCAGCGATGCGTTTTATTTGTTGATGTTTTCTGAAATGAACCTGAAGATACCATCTTGAGGTATTTGAGTTCATTGTAATATATTCTTCAATACATGGACATGTCTCTTTTTTTCCCCCACCCACAGTCAATCCTTTTGCACCAGGATGGGTAGAAGTTTGCCACCAGGTTCCTTACGATTGTGAAGACGTGACAAACGCGCGAGTTCGAGAGGTTCTGTGTCAGCCAGCCTCGTGTCTTCCCTGTGTAATTATCACAAACCTCTGCCTCAGCATCTGCAGAGCCTGCTGGGGGTAACCCAGCTTCACCCAGATTTTATGGGATTAGTATAATTGTAAATGACAATGCAGGGATTTCAAATAATTCAGCTCAGGATGGAAAACTGGGTTTAAAAGACAAATTGATCCAGTTTAAAAAAAAAAAAAAAATCAGGCTCATTTCTTTAATTCTGACTTCTTAGAATAATGATAAACAGTAGTATTTTAAAATAGAAATTGATCCAGTTTAAAAAAAAAAAGATAAATCAGGCTCATGTCTTTTATATTTACTTCTTAGACTAAAGATTGATAAACATTAGTATTTATATTAGTATACTGAACTTCCAATTCTCTAAATATTTGATTGACGATTTGGTAAATGAAATACAATTTAAAGTAAATCTACTCTGGCTGGTCTCTGCAATCTGCTCTCCCTGGCTTCTGGCTGTCCATAAACGCTGCCAGGCTGCGAGGGGGGGCAGAAGTCAGGACTATGAACAATATATTAAGTATCTGAAATACTGATATTTTTAAATCAAGAAAAACCAACTGGCTGTTTCTCATCCTTCCAACATTTCTGAATTTTAGGCAAAAGATCAAATCGGAGAGTTTTTCAGCAAGCAGGCGTATGCTTTGAAGCACGAGTTTCAAACTCCTCCTACCATACACTACGTGGAGAACAGTTTCTCAGTCACCCCCATTGACAGCTGTCGGCCCGGTTTTGGGAAAAACGATCTCACCCACAAGAACTGCGCCAGTTGCTGCGGTAAATTCAAAATATATTGATTTAAGTAGAGCTTATTGGCTCTGATCGTGGGTTTCTCTGAAGGGTATTTGGTAAATACCAGTGTCAAAAGCAATGGTATTTCCATTCATCTTTTGGAAAGACATTCACAACGTAGATTTAAAAAAAAACAAACCAAACCAAACCCACGTTTGTGGGTGTAACTATTTCCAGAGAGAGCAAGTGGAAGCAGTGAAGCGGGTTTTTGTCTTCCAGGTCACTGGTGAGTGACTCTGCTCAGGATGTAGAGCAAATAAGAAACAGTTACTTTAACAGCTGCTAGAAAGCACCCTGCTGTTTTAAAAGCTCTTTTGCCGGCAGCACCCAGTGCCCGTCTTGGGCTGCGGGTGCTGAGTGAGGGGCAGGCTGGGCCAGTGGGGGCGGCCCAGGGCTCACCCGCAGCGTGGGGAGGGTGCGTGGTGCTGCCCGACACCCCGAGCCAGAGGGCAGCTGCCTGAAACACCGACTGTGCTCCCTTTGCAGTGGTTTGTGCTCCCGGAACTTACAGCCCTAACAGCGACGTGACCTGCCAGATCTGTGCAAGGCCCCGAGTCAAGATGTACGGAGCAAGATCTTGCTAATAAACTGATGACAGGAACTGGAAAACCGAGGAGCAGCTGCTAAAGCCTTACTGGGTTTGTGATGTTTTATTCACTTTTAGCTGCCAGCGGTGGAATCCTACATTCATTTTCGAACAATCACAAAACGTCATTACTCAGGCACCCCAGAGTTTCTGTATTCAGGGACCACTTAGACTGTAAAAATGATGCATAAAATGAAGCATTCACGCAAGGTGAAGTAACTCAATAAAAAAAAAAAAAAAAAAAGGAAGTTTGTCACATGGCTCTTAGTGCAAAGGGGCTGTTTCTTGGTGGTGACACCAGACAGGCCACAGCTTTGTGCTGCAGTTTGCTCAGAGAACCTAAAGGAGCCACAAACAATTCAGGGAAGGCGGCAGACAGCTGTGGTGGAACCCTGTGCCACAACGACATGCCAGAACCTCTACCAGCAGTTTCTAGCAGATATTAACAGAAGCATTTAATCTTTGTGATTTCGAAACACTAAATGCCCTTCCCTTTCTTTTGCCCCCTTTCTTCCTCTGTCCCAAGTGCTCCAGCCTGCCCCGTGCAATGTTGTACAACGCACTCGTTCACAGACACCGACCCGCTCAGGGCTTTCCCCAGCGGGAGCTCTGCTGACGAGCAGGCCCCAGCAGAGCTGAGAGGGAAATCGGGTCTCCGGGACAAGAGAGAGGGTTAATAAATTATTCTGCAGCCCAGCGGTCAGGAGAATTACGGACGCAGCTTTTACGGATCTCTTCTTGTCCGCTGCTCCCCAGAAGGAAGCGGGTGCGTCCCGGGGGAAGCGCAGCGGCTGCGGAGCCTCCTCCGCCCGCTCCTTCAGCTGCGTCCCGTCCTCGTGGCAGAGCTCTGCTGGCCCCAGGTGCTGGCCTGTGCGAGCAGATGATCCTCTTACACCAGCTGCAAATTCCCACCAAGTTCACCGGATGAGTAACAAGTCGAGACGCAAATTGCCAAAGCACTGAGATAATGGGAAAGTTTGCTTCCCAGAAGAGACTCGCTCCCATCAGCTTTTGAGGAGTAGCTGCTGGATCTGCAGCAGTTTGCTCACAAAACACTATTAGCAAAGATTGTTCTACCGCATTCCAGAGCTTCCCAAGTCACCCTGACTTCTCCGCAGCCCCGTAAGGTGCGGGCAGGCTGCCAGGGAGCTCCCGGGACAGGGGCTTTGACAAGGTGTCCCGAAGCTTTGTAATAAACTGTTCCCTGCGAGCCCTCGCCCTCCTTCCCCTCGTGAAGCACGGCCAGAGGCCGCTTGTGCGCTGGGGGTGGGACCCCCTGCACCCGGAGCCGGGGGGCTCTGTGCCCGCCGCCCCGCACACAGCCAGGCCGCACTTTTTTTTGTGCTACGTAGGGCTAAAATCAGGCAGAAGAGCACCTCCTGCCCACTAACCGCAACTTCTCCCGGCATCTAGAAATCCCTTGGTGGGTATTCATCCAAAAATCGACCAGGTTCAACCCAGTTTAACTTATCCATTTTGACAGGAACACAGCAGGAGATGGTGCGGGCACAGACCACGCTCCAAGCTTTTCAGAATCATTACTTATTAAATACTGACGAATAAAGTGTACTGTAACGAGCATTTAAACTGCCTGTAGGCTGATTATCTCAGCTGCCAACTGGACACCGTGTGCACGGCTCAGGCTTATACAGATTAAGCAGACGGGCTCGGCGATTGCTGCCCGCGTCTCTTGGCCTATTTCACAGCGGAGGAATGCCACATGCATAAATGATTATGGGGGAAAAAAAAAAGCAGTAAGTAGGTACTAAGTGCAAGCAAGTCACAAATGAACACTTACTCCCTCCTCCTTCGAAAAACCTGGGGGTATAGGAAGCTCTTACAGTGCCTCAGCTCTTTCAGTGGGCCTGAAAACGAGAAAAAGAGGTCAAATACTTCAGTATTGCTATACAGAGGAGCTCGTGTCATTAATTCTGTGGAGACTTTCATGAAAAACTGATGCGAAATGGCTTCGCTCTGACCTTTCCTGCGTGGAAGTCCTCTCCATCCCGCTGGAGCTGCCGGCCTTCGCTCCCTGGGAGAGCCCCGAGTGCAGCTGAATCTGTTATTTGTGACACCCGGGCAGCTCCCTCCCCTCTGCCGAGCTGCTGAGTCGCTGTCACACTTCAGCTTTTACAAACTGCTGCCGTCAGCCCTCGCTTCGCCTCACCTTTACTTTTTACGATCACTCTCTACCTCCCCCAGCTGCAATAGCTCAGGAGGAATTGCCAGCGCCTTCCTCACCGCTCTAAATCCTCTTTTTTTTTTTCTGTTTTTACACGCTTTCCTCTTGGAAACGGGAGCTGTAGCTGATGGGTGCAGTGAGGGAGCCCCTCGTTCTCCTGGGGGGGCTCAGCCCTTTACAGCTCTGCTTTAACCTGCCCCGACCACGCTGCTTTAATCTCACTTTCTGCAAAGGACAACTGTCGTGATGAATTCTCACAAATAATAAATTTAGAACTTAAAACTTCCCGTCCCCTCTGCGTGCAGGCCTCCGGGAACGGCCCTTCCCACAGGCTGTGTCCCAGCAGCACACGAGCGCTTTTAAACATCCACGAATGACAAAAATTATCCGCCACAGCCCATTGTTGTAACATCAGAGCTGCCTTTTCCCAGACTGGAACAAACCACTTGAGAAACACTTAACGAACACGTGTTAAAGCACTCGGGGCAGAGCTGCCGCGTCAGGGCCCGCGTCTGCAGGTGACGGTGACACCGGGAAGTCGTGTCCTCGCTCCCCGCAGCGTCTCTGCTGGCCCACAAGTGACCTTGTCCTCTAAGCCGAGGGGTGTTGACCAGTGTCACGGCTCTGGCGTGACGCTGCAGCTCACTTCAAGGTGCCGGAGAACGTCCCCCAGCCCTGGATCGGCGCATCCCAGGTGCAGCCCCCGCTAACCCAACCCTCAGGCAGCCGGGCCAAGGGCCGCTTGGGTGGGAAGTGACTTTAAAATGAGGCCTGGCCAAGAGTCGAGAGGGTCATTTCTGTCCCCAAGGGCCCCCAGGTGACACTGGGTGGCACAGGGACACCCCGGCGTGCAGCCGCGCGCTCAGGGCGGCGAAGCCCCTTCACCTGCAGCACCCGCAGCCGGTTCCTCGACGGGACCGAGCGTTTGTATAAAATGACACCTGTTTCCAAGTGCTCTGCTGAACTGGAAATGAGGGGAAAAAAAAGAAAAAAGGAGCTTGTGCTGTTTCTGTCACCTAAATCCTGGCCTGGAGCAAGGCTGGGAGGGAAACAGAGCCGCAGTGTCGGCCCAGTGGGGATCCCACAGGATGGACAGGAGCTCCCCCAGCCCACAGATGCCAACAACCCCACGTCTCCCGCCGAGGCAGGAAAAGGGCCTGGGAAGACGACGTTTCCCTCGGAGAGCAGCTTTGCAGGGGCCCCTCTTTTATTACCAGGCGCAACCTTGTCTTAAATAAAACGATCCCGAGGCCCAGCGATGCCCAGCTTGCACGAGGGATGGGCGAGAAAATCAATGGTGAAGTCAGGAAGGGAGCGTGTGGGCAGCTGAAAGGCTGAGCTCTTAACCCCACGCACGGGAAGAGCTGTTGTGATTTTGAGCTCTGCTCTGGTTTCCTATCCGCTGAAATTAAATTTCCTCTTGCCCAAGTCCGGCGACCACATTTTCTGCGCAGCACCAGCCCTGTAACAGGCAACATCATCGGATTAATGAGTCCTTTGCAGGCAGTGAATAAGTGTGATTCATTATTGGCAGCAACGCCACTGTAAATGGATTTTTTGTGGTGAAAATAAATAAATAAGGCTACATAACTGAAGGGCTGTTGATGAAGTGTAGACCAGCTTTAATCACAGTGTAATTGCCGCCATCGGTTCTAATTATTTATAAATATTTTTATAATTGTGGAAATTAAACAATTAGACATCCTTCCTTCCCTCTTCCAAATCTAATCAGTTAAAAGGTCAGGATGCAGTCTGGGGCCACGACTGCTGAACGCGCTTCGTTCGCAGCCTGAGAAAAATATTGCTTTGCCTTTCTCCTGAAGCACAACACCCCTGCAAGAGCGACCGCTCGCCCCCGGCACGGAGCAGAGCCTCCGGCTGCGCTGCTGCAGGGCCGAGCCCGCAGCCGGGTACCCACCGACCTCAGCAAATCATCAAAAATCCAGCGGAGCCGGGGGCCCCCGGAGCAGCGCTCGGCCCCTGGGCTCCCGGGGGGCAGAAGAGGCGTCACCGCCACAAGGACCCGATTCTTAAACCTCACCCCAGGGACAGTTTTTCCTCCAGCCCAGAGGGGACACCCGGCGCTCCCTGGGCAGGCCCGTTAATTACTGCCCGGCACGGGCGGGCAGAGCACCTGGGAAATTCATTGCAGAGATTCGCCGGCACGCTGGAATGCTACAGAAGGAGGTCACGCTGCTAATTCTGCCGTTGCTGATCCCAGCAGATAAACCTACAGTACATCAGGAAATGAATTACCCAGAAATGCAGCATTAAAATGGATTATTGTATTTCCTCGCTTAAGGAAAAGTGTTGACTTTAGTGCTGAGCCCCCCGCACCCACCGAGGCCGAGCGCCGGCTCCCCACAGGAACTTGCCCATCGCAACTCGCTGCCGGAGAGTAAAGAGGAGAAAAATCCCCCCTGGGATGAGCCCTGCGAGGTGCTGGCGGGCTGCTGGCCCCAGGCCCCCTCCTGCACTCAGCCAGACCCCCCAGGACCCTCTGGGACCCCGGCTCGGCCACAGGCACCTCCTGGAAATATTCCCTTAATCCCAGTTTTCTGCTCTTCCCCATTCCCCGCAGCACCCGACGAAATATCCAGATTATTAACAGCATAAATCCCGTGCGATTCACTCCGTCCCACACCAAGTTATCTGCCTGAAACTTATTGCTGATTTTTACGAGGTTTCTTATC